ATAGATAGATAGATAGATAGATAGATAGATAGAGGAAGGAAGGAAGGCAGATTGATTTATCTAGCCCCTTTCCAGGAAGAGGACATAAATAGGCTAACTTTGTGTGCTGGTACGACTGTACCAGGAGCTCCAACTTCATTTTCTTTCTATTGAGTGTTTGCATGTATTCCAAGGTTCCATGCATTTTACAATAAGGTGACTTCCCTTGGCTTGCAGTCATAGGGCTAGCCACCTGGCTATCATTGTTAAGTTTTGGTTGCGCCCCTTTTTCCAGGGCTCTGGGAGGGAAAGGGGACAATTTTTAGTTCAGTCTTATAGTGGAAAGCTTAGCTACAGGACGTGGATCAGCTCCATCTGTAGACAAGCTTCGTTTCTCACAGCATCCGGGGGAAAACAGTTTTACAGCACAACCCTTGTTGGGTTTAAAGAAACAGCTCCACATCATTTGTGGAAAAGATCCAAAAGTACTCCAGCTGGAGAATCTACAAAGCCTTGGCTGGTAGGTCTACTCGGGACCCAAGAAGCAGTTTGGAGATGGGAGTAGGACCTACACCAGCAAGCCTAGAAAGTAGATTGCCTGGGAGGGGTTAAAAAGGGTTTTCCTCTTAAAGAAAAGAAACAGTTCGCAAAGCCTGTCCATTGTGGGCAAATTAAGAAGCATTTGTTTGACTTGTTGAAGATCTCAGAAGTGTTTGTTTAATTTGTTGAAGATCTAAGCAATAATAAAGGACTTTGTTAAACTTTTCAAGCATCTAAAGACTTTTGTATAGGAAAATCCTTAGGGCCTCTCAGCCAAGGCAACCCGGCTTCCCGCTGGGCACAAAGAGCACGTCCTGTTCAAAAGACAATTATTACAGGCCCAGTGTGCGACAGAACACTGTGCATGTATATTTTCCTCTGTTGTTTGTCATCATTTCTAACTTATGGCAATCTTTTCATGAGATTTCTTTGGCATGATTTGCACATTATCTGAAGCTGAAAAGGTGTGACTTGCCCAAGGTCACCAACTGGGTAAGTAGGGGTTCAAACGATGGTTTTCCTGCATCCTAATCCAAAATGCAACCCTCTGCACCCCATTAGTTCTCAGAGAGGTGGGGGGTTCACTCATTGGTCTGCCATTAGATTAGATCTACGAAGTTGCACCATACCTGATGTAGGCCTCTGTGCTGCTGGGCCCTTTGAGTTGATCCTCCATGAGGTAGGTGTTGTGTGAAGATGAAATATAATAATGACTGAGCGGCTGATTCATGTCCTGGTAGACCCGGGTGTGATTCTGATTGAATATGTTTCCATCAGCTGACAGAAGATACATCTGGAAACCATCTTTGGTCATAGATCGCTGACCTTTGACTGCAGGAAAAAAGGAGAATGAGCAATTTTATTATTATTATTATTATTATTATTATTATTATTATTATTATTATTATATCTCACCTTTCTCCCAAGGTAGGATTGAAGCCACCTGAACAATAATTTAATCAAGATGAACTTAAAACATTACAATATCTGCCAGGGTCTGGTTCCAGAACCTCCCGTTGATACCAAAATCCATCTATAGTAATATTGTGTCTTGTACATAAAATGACAAAATCAACTTTTGCTTTAAAATATATTTTTCCTGTGGTCATGGGAGAGACATCTCCAATTATCTAATGCCGAGATCAAAGAAGAGGAACCTATCAGTCGTAAGTCTGATCATGGTAGGCTTCCCAAAGCCATGTGTGACATCATACGCTCCGCTGCTATGCCAGCTCCACTGGCTGCCAATTAGCTTCCGAGCACAATTCAAAGTGCTGGTGTTGACCTATAAAGCCCTAAATGACTCCGGCCCTGTTTACCTCTCCGAACGTATTCTCCCCTACAAACCATCAAGATTATTAAGATCATCTGGAGAGGCCCTGCTCTCGGTCCCACCAGCCTCGCAAGCGCGCCTGGTGGGGACGAGGGATAGGGCCTTCTCGGTGGTGGCCCCGCGACTCTGGAACTCTCTCCCTCTGGAGGTCAGAACCGCCCCATCCATCTTAACATTTAGGAAACGGGTGAAGACGTGGCTGTGGAGTCAGACCTTCGACGAATGAGATAACACCATAGGACCCTCATGGAAGTTGATGTAGATCCATCTTAATAGGACGACTGACCACTGTAGTGTTTACATATAGTGTTTTTAAAGTTGTTTTTGTAATCTGTGATATATGATATTTTAATGAGTATTTGTTTTTATGGCTGGAAACCGGGCTGAGTCCCTCAATGAGGTTGAGAAGCTCGGTATAGAAAACTGTGAAATAAATAAGAAATAAATAAATAAATAAATAAATACACAAAGATGCAAAGATTATGTTATGTAACATGATTTGTGTTCCTGGGTTATAAATGTTATTTCTTAATAGGTTCTATCATAAAAACATGGGAAAAGTTCATTAACCTGCCAAAATTTTGTTTCTGCAGGAGGGACATCCTATAGCACATGTTGCTATAGTTTTTCAATGAGTATCTCATAGAGTCTCAACCAATTCAACATATGTGCTGTCAAAGGCTTTCATGGCCAGAATCACTGGATTGCTGTAAGTTTTTTCAGACTATGTGGCCATGTTCCAGAAGCATTCTCTCCTGACGTTTCACCTGCATCTATGGCAGGCATCCTCAGAGGTTGTGAGGTCTGTCAGAAACTAGGAAAATGGGTTCTTGTGGGTTTTTCCGGGCTATATGGCCATGTTCTAGAGGCATTTTTTCCTGAGGTTTCGCCAGCATCTATGGCAAGCATTCTCTGAGGTAGTGAGGTAGTGAGAAAAAAACCCACAAGAACCTAGTGATTCCAGCCATGAAAGCCTTTGACAATACATAGGAAAATGGGGTTTATGTATCTGTAGAATGTCCAGAGTGGGAGAAAGAGCTCATGTCTGTTTGAAGTAGGTGTGAATGTTTCAGTTGGCCACCTTGATTAGTATTTAATGGCCTAGCAGTTTTCAAGGTGTGGCTTCTAACTGCCTGGGGGAATCCTTTATTGAGAGGTGATTAGCTATACTCCACCACAAACATCAGAAGAGCTGCAAGACCGAGAACAAGCCATGAGAGTAAAGACAAAGATCTACCCAGAAGAAAATTGTTCTTGCTATAAATCAAGGGAACCACAGACCGCATAGGGAAGCCGATGAGGAAACGCAACCTTTACTTAGGCGAGGTGATCCCTCGCTTTCCGAGGATGATTGTCTTCCAATATTCTTGTGGGTCCGTATGTGGCTGTGGAGCCCTATTCTTGCTCTGCATCTTCTTCCGCAGTGAGGGCATTGGTTTCCAGGTGGAAGGCGGTCTCGGCCGGGGTTGGCTTGACATGCCTTCCTCTTGGCACATTTCTCTTTTTCACCCTCCACTCGTGCCTCCTCAAATTCTGCAGCACTGCTGGTCACAGCTGACCTCCAGCTGGAGCGGTCAAGGGCCAGGGCTTCCCAGTTCTCACTGTCTATGCCAGAGTTTAAGGTTGGCTTTGAGCCCATCTTTAAATCTCTTTTCCTGTCCTCCAACATTCCTTTTTCCGTTCTTGAGTTCAGAGTAGAGCAACTGCTTTCGGACAATGTGGCCGGTCCAGCGGAGTTGATGGTGGAGGACCATCGCTTCAGTGCTGGTGGTCTTTGCTTCTTCCAGCACGCTGACATTTGTCTGTCTTCCCAAGAGATTTGTAGGATTTTTCGGAGGCAGCGCTGATGGAATCGTTCCAGGAGTTGCATGTGACGTCTGTAGACAGTCCACGTCTCACAGGCATATAGCAGGGTTGGGAGGACAATAGCTTTATAAACAAGCACCTTGGTCTCCCTACGGATGTCCCGGTCCTCAAACACTCTCTGCTTCATTCGGAAAAATGCTGCACTTGCAGAGCTCAGGCGGTGTTGTATTTCGTGATGTTGACTTTGGTGGAGAGGTGGCTGCCAAGGTAGCGAAATGATCAACATTTTCTAATGTTACACCATTAAGCTGTATCACTGGCATTGGAGAGGGGATGGCTGGTGACTGCTGGAAAAGCACTTGGTTTTTTCAATGTTCAATGACAAACGCAACCTACAAACAATCTATACAGACCCACTAGAAAATCCAACAAATGCTACGTTCAGCAAAGGACAAGAGGGATCCTCTCACTTCTGCAGGAGTCTACCGTGTACCATGCAGCTGCGGACAAGTCTACAGAGGGACCACCAAACGCAGCAGCATTGTCCAAACACGAATAAAGGGACATGAAAGGCACTGCAGGCTCATTCAGCCAGAGAAGTCAGCCATAGCAGAGCACCTGATGAACCATCCTGGACACAGCATATTATTTGAGAACACAAAAATGCTGGACCACTCTCACAACCACCATGTCAGACTACACAGAGAAGCCATTGAAATCCACAAGCATATGGACAATTTCAACAGAAAGGACAAAACCATGAAAATGAACAAAATCTGGCCACCAGTATTAAAAAGACCCTAAAATCAGTAAATGAAGACAGGGGAGATCCAGACAAGGAACCATCAGGGACAGCTAATCACTTCTCAATAAAGAATTCCCCCAGGCAGTTAGAAGCCACACCTTGAAAACTGCCAGGTCACTAAATGCTAATCAAGGTGGCCAATTAAAACATTCACACCTAGCTCCAACAGACAAGAGTTCTTTCTCCCACCTGGACATTCCACAGATATATAAACCCAATTTTCCTAGTTTCCAACAGACCTCACAACCTCTGAGGATGCCTGCCATAGATGCAGGCAAAACGTCAGGAGAGAATGCTTCTGGAACATGGCCATACAGCCCGAAAACTCACAACAACCCAGTGATTCCAACCATGAAAGCCTTGGACAATACATTCAATGCCATACCAGGCTGAAAAAGTCTCCCTCGGCTTATACTCGAATCAAGGTTATTTATTATTTTACTCTGTTGTTGTTATTATTATTTTCATTTCATTTATTATTTTATTCTATTTATTATTATTACATTTATCATTTTACTCTATTATTATACATTCATTATTTTACTCATTTTATTATTGTTGTTATTACATTTATTATGTTACTCTCTTTATTATTATTGGAAGGAAACATAAGCACATTTACATTGAAGAAGGTAAATAATCATTTAATCAGAGTTGGACAGTCTTATCTTAAATTACCATTTTTGTAAATATTCAAAAATATCTAACCTACTGATTCCTCAATTAATGTAATTTAATTGGTATCTATTTTTATTTTGCAATTTACCAGTAGCTGCTGCATTTCCCACCCTCGGCTTATACTCGAGTAAATCCGTTTTTTCAGTTTTTTGTGGTAAAATTAGGTGCCTCGGCTTATATTATTATTATTATTATTATTATTATTATTATTATTATTATTATCTTTATTTGTACCCCGCTAGCATCTCCCGAAGGACTCAATACACAACATGACAATACAAACCCAAAGCAAATTTAAAACAATTAAAGCAATATTAAACAACAAAATAACAAGCAACAAACAATACACCAAAACACAATAAAATTGGGCCTGGCCAGAGTGAAGGGTACAGAATTAAAAGTGCTGATGTGACAGGTGATATGTAAGGATTATAGGGCAAGTGCAGTGTGCGGTGTGAAGCAATCTTAGTTCTAATAAAGTGCTTCTGGGACTTGGTATTGGAGATTTCCTATTCTGGGAAGGCACATCGGAACAGCCAGGTCTTCAAGTTCTTTCTGAAGACTGCCAATGTAGGGGCCTGTCTAAGATCTTTGGGGAGGGTGTTGCAGAGTCGGGGGGCCACCACGGAAAAGGCCCTGTCTCGTGTCCCCACCAAACGCGCTTGCGACGCAGGCGGGATCACGAGCAGGGCCTCTCCAGATGAACGAAGTGAACGCGTGGGTTCGTAGACGGAGATGCGGTCACGGGTCGGCTTACACTCGAGTATATATGGTAGTTTGTGGCAGCCACAGAAACTAAGTTTCTGGAGTATAGCAACTACTTTCAAAGTACCACATCATTAAACAGGAAATAAGACTTTCAGGAAATAAAGCCCAACTGCTCATTGGAGGGAAGGATAATAGAGGCAAAGCTGAAGTACTTTGGCCACATCATGAGAAGAAAGCTAAGCCTAGAGAAGACCAATTATGCTGGGGAAAGTGGAAGGCAAAAGTAAGAGATGGGAGCCAGGCCCGTAGCCAGGATTTCGTTTCGGGAGGGGCTGGCTGAATTTTTTTTCAGGGGGGTGGGGGGGGGAGTTTGGGGGGGGGCTGAGTCTGAGTGAAAGAGGGTCTAGCCTAGCAAACCTTTTGTATCATTACCCCAATACATATGGGATATATTGAGTATGGTGATCAGATCATGAAATAAACATAACAGTTTAAATAATGCACCAGTAAGGCCTTTTCGCGAACCACCATGAGAATTTCGGGGGGGGGCTGAAGCCCCCCGAGCCCCCCCCCCCTGGCTACATGCCTCGGGTCGTTGGGGAACTCCCCCACTCTCCTGAGGTGGAGGAGGCTTTCGATGACCCTACGACTCGGTGCTGCAAGTTTGTGCACCACTTTGCAGATAAAGTCGCTCAGATACGCCTTGAGTTGGACTCCAGTTTAAACACAGTGCCAGGGGAGGTGACCGAGGCATCTGCTTGTCCAGTTTTGTGGGATTCCTTCCGGCTTGTTCATCCTGAGGACGTGGAGGAGGCCCTTGGGACTGTGAGAGCGACCACTTCAGCTCTGGACACCTGCCCGTCTTGGCTAATTAAATCGGCCAAAGGTGGTTTGATTGATTGGTTTATGTTGATCATTAATGTATCGTTGGAGCAAGGGATTTTTCCATCTGGGCTAAAACAGGCTGTGGTCAGACCACTCCTGAAAAAGACCTCCCTTGACTCCACAGTCTTGAACAATTATAGACCAATCTCCAACCTCCCTTTCTTGGGCAAGGTGTTGGAGCGGGTGGTCGCCTCTCAGCTCCAGTGTTTCCTAGATGACATCAGCTATCTAGACCAGTCACAGTCTGGCTTCAGACCTGGCTACGGCACCAAGACGGCTTTGGTCACCTTGGTGGATGACCTCCGCAGGCAGCTGGACAGGGGGAGTGTGACCCTGTTGGTTCTCTTGGACACTTCAGCGGCTTTCAATACTGTTGAATCCCAGTTCAAGAAACAAGACCATAAGATTAAATCCACCACTCTGGACTGTAGGAAAAGCAATCCTTGTTTATTGATGAAAAATTGGTTACAAAAGAAAGGTAAATGCAGAGTAAAAAGCCACAGAAAAACACAGTAGTCAATAGGATCTCTGAACTTGAGCAAAACTTCAAAAGCCACAAAACAATAACCAGGAGTCTGTTAGCCTTTTACTAACCATGAACTTGGAAACTACAAGCCTCTGGGATTACTGGCCATGGAACACAGGAATTCTGCCAAGACCAGCCACAGTCCCGAACGTTGCTTGACCTAAAGAAGCACCCGGCAGGGATGCTCTTAAACCAAAGAAGCTATTCTTAGAAACGCCCCTTGACTTTTCTGTTTGGGCCTCTTTCTGCTGAAGACGCTGTGACCTTCGTACAGACTGGGAAACAAATCTATCTCTCACTATCTGTTCTCTTCGGACCTCATTATCAAGCCCAGGTGGGGAGATATCACGGCTAACTTCCAAAACATTCTCTTCTAACTGTTGGGTTTCATTTTCATTCCCACTGACCTCTGCATCAACAACAGATTCCACACTGTCAGAGTCAGGGAGAGCTTGCTCAGTTTGAAAAACTATCAGAGAATCCTGTTCACACAGATCAGGATCAGACTGAACCCCAACAGAAACCATCAATCATGGTATCCTTCTGGGACGACTCTCTGGGATGGGCCTTGGAGGCATGGTTTTGTTGTGGCTCTGGTCCTTCCTGGAGGGTCGATCCCAGATGGTGAAGCTGGGAGACACCTGCTCGGACCCCTGGCCTTTGACCTGTGGGGTCCCGCAAGGTTCCCACCTGCATTCAAAGTGCGATTGGTGGGGATGAGAGAGATGGCCTTCTCGGTGGTGGCCCCTTGACTTTGGAACTCATTTCCTAAGGACATCAGACATGCCCCAACTCTGGCAGTCTTTAGGTGGAGCTTGAAGATGTGGTTGTTCCAGTGTACCTTCCCAGAATAATGAACCCTTGGCATTATGTCCTCCAAAAGCACTTTATACTGATTTAGGACTGCTTGTTCATTTCCACCAACGCCCCACGTCCTCTATCTTGTTCATGCCCAGCATTATTTTTTAACTTAATTACATTTGGCCCAGCCATAGTTTTTAAATGTGTTTTGTGCTATTGTTCAATGTTTATGCTATTTGTGTATGACATTTATTTTAATTTCTTTGTATTAGTATTTGTATTTTACTTCGTGTTGTAACTGTTATTACTTGTATTGATGTATTGTGGGCTCGGCCTCATGTAAGCCGCACCAAGTTTCTTGGGAGATGGTAGCAGGGTATAAATAAAGTTTTATTATTATATTATTATATAAAGGAAAGCTTAGAGAAGGCAATTATGCTGGGGAAAATGGAAGGAAAAAGGAAGAGGGGCCGACCAAGGGCAAGATGGATGGATGGATGGCATCATTGAAGTGACTGGATTGAACTTAAAGGAGCTGGGGGTGGTAACTGCCAACAGGGAGCTCTGGCCTGGGCTGGTCCATGAGGTCACGAAGAGTTCGAAATGACCAACTGAACGAACAACAAAAACAAGACTTTCAAACCAGGAACGGAAAATGTTTCAAATTTTGTTACATAGTGTTATCAATCAACAAATTCACTCAAGGATTGCAAACCTACCAGTTTTGTTGGGTTCATATTTCTCGATCAGCGAGAGCGCCAGTTTGGACCCAGCGTTCTCCTCATGCTGCTGAGTCCGGAGGAAGCCCACCAGATCGTCCAACGACATGGTCTCTTTGCCCTTGGACTGTTCAGAGAAGATCCGGTCTATCTCTTTTCGCTCTGTCAGGATCTTATAGAAGATCTCTATCTCGTCGTCTTCCAAGGTGTTTGTCTTAGATGTGTCACATTGCTGTGAATGCAGAGAGAAGAAGTAAATCCCTTCTTTCTTTTTTGGTTGGGGCCTCAGCCAGGGCTAGATAATGCAAAACAGAGTCATCACTTTGCAAACAGTCGCTTTTGCTGCCCAAGGATGAGAATCCAGTCGGTGCCAAGGAAATGCCTCGTTTTTTTCTTTCTCGTCTGAACTAAGCTTGAGTGAAGATTTGGTGGGACTGGGCATTTGAGGAGTAGAATTTGGAATTTGAGAAGTGGGTTGTTGTAGGTTTTTCGGGCTATATGGCCATGTTCTATAGGCATTTTCTCCTGACGTTTCGCCTGCATCTATGGCAAGCATCCTCAGAGGTAGTGAGATCTGCGATAGATGCAGAGGAAACGTCAGGAGAGAATGCCTCTAGAACATGGCCATATAGCCCGAAAAAACCTACAACAACCCAGTGATTCCGGCCATGAAAGCCTTCGACAATACAAATTTGGGAAGTGTTTGAGAAGTATTGGTAGGTCCTGAAATATTTCATATCAATCTCAGGAGTTAAGGTCTTGCCACAGCAAGTCTCGTAAACTCCAGCCCAAAATGAATCAAAAGCCCATTGTAGAACTACGGTATTTGAGCCAGAAATGTGTCTACTGTGTTTTCCTTTCTCTAGTGACTGTTGTGAAACAGATCAGGGGTCTAAACCTATGAACCATTCTGCAATTTACCACCCAAGAATTTAGTGGTAAATTGGAAAGCTGGTATTTCCATTCAGACTTAGGGTGCATCTATGGCGTAGGATTAATGAAGTGTGATAGCACCCCAACTGTCATAACTCAATGCTATGGCATTATATGTTCTTGCAGTTTGGTGAGGTACCAGCACTGTTTGGCAGGGAATGTGAAATACCTTGCAAAACTACAACTCCCTGGATTCCATAGCACTGAAGCCATGGCACATCTATCCTTTGTGATAGGACTACCAGCTTCATTGTTTTGTAGATGACACAGGATCAATATAATATTTGATCACAAATCAAAGCTTGCTCTCCCATCAGGCATGAAGAAGCCAATTCATGCCTGATGGGAGGGCAATTTTGACTTTTCTCAGGTTCTCAAATATTGTGGGCTCTTGCTATCCACCTTATGTACCTAAAACATGGGTGCTGAAGTCCCATTACTTGATGGGTGCTGAAGTCCCATGGGTGCTGAAGACCTAATACAATGGTGTCCCTTATATAAAATGGTGAAATCAGGGTTTGCCATTTGGATATATATATATATATATATATATATATATATATATATATATTCTTGGCATGGCTGGTTGAATCCTTGGATGCTGAATCTGTGGATAAGGCAGACTGACTACAAATTCAAGTTGGTTTCTTTAAGGTTCTCTGATACTATATTCAAACAAATATCAGTCTTCTTTTTAAATTCATTTTCTGAACTTAGGTCTCCATTTTGCCCAGGAAATTAGATGAATAAATATCAGAGAATGTAAATTTGGAGGGGGGGGGGGGTAGTAGTGCAGTGGATTAAACCGCTAAGCTAATGAACTTTCTGACTGGAAGGTCAGAGGTTCAGATCCATGGGATGGGGTGAGCTCCCGTTGTTAGCCCCAGCTTCTGCCAACCTAGCAGTTTGAAAACATGCAAATGTGAATAGATCAATAGGTACCATTTCTGTGGGAAGGTAATGATGCTCTATACAGTCATGCCGGCCACATGACCTAGGAGGCGTCTACGGTCAACGCCAGCTCTTCGGCTTAGAAATGGAGATGAGCACCACCCCTCAAAGTTGGACTCAACTAGACTTAATGTCAAGGGGAAACCTTTACCCTTTTTTACATGGATATTTTACTTTTGGGGAGGGAGTTATAATCCCGCCCCCAAAAAATCCAATCTCTGTTCCTACAAGAGCATATTCTTTGGTGGCTACCAATTCTATTCTTGTGCACCTGGAAACATTGACAGATACATTTGTTTGATCCATCGATATGAGGGAATAACATCAGCCTTACCTCAAAAATCTGCCGCGCATAGTTGTCATCCACTTGGATGTTGATTTCCTTCAGGAAGTTCTTGAGCTCATTCAACGTCATTTTGTTGTCCTTATTCTTATCTGCCTTCCTCAAGCAGGCATGGATCCAGCTGTTTGAATGGATTATTAAGGAAGATAACAACATCGGAAAAGAGATTCCCTCCCCAAAGTTCCAGCCTAAGCTTCGAACCTACAAAATTCTGTGGAGCAGGTCTGGGCCAACTTCAGCCCTATAGGTGTTTTGGACTTCAACTCCCACAGTTCAGCAGCCAATAGTGAAAGGATCAGGGCAGTGACATCTCCAGCTCATCCCCTGTTTGGGAATCAGCCAGCACGTCAATGACTTAAATCAAGAAACAGTTTTCTAATATCTATAGAGACACTCACTGGAACACACCAGCAAGCGAGAGTCCAAAAGTGGCAGGCTCAAACCCAGAACTTCAATCAATGGCTGATACCAAATGAGAGACTCCCTCCTGGGCACACAGAAAACTGGTCAACTTGGAAGGCGCTGAACAGACTGTGCTCTGGCACTACGAGACGCAGAGCCAACCTTAGGAAATGGGGCTACAAAGTGGAATCCACGACATGCGAGTGTGGAGAAGAGCAAACCACTGACCACCTGCTGCAATGCACCCTGAGCCCTGCCACATGCACAATGGAGGACCTCCTTGCGGCAATACCAGAGGCACTCCAAGTGGCCAGATACTGGTCAAAGGACATTAATAGAATACCAAGTCTGCAAATTTTGTGTTTTGTTTGTTTGTTTGTCTGTTTTTTTTCATGCATACAACTGTTTTGGTTCGCTCCTGACACGATAAAATAAATCAGAATGGGACAATCTTATCTTAAAGTTTTATGTAAATATTCTACAGTTTTATGTAAATATTCAAAAACATTTAACCTACTGATGCCACAATTAATATAAATTTATTGGAATCTATTTTTATTTTGAAATTTACCCGTAACTGCTGCATTTCCCTTAATTGGCTTATACTTGAGTTTTCCCAGTTTTTTGTGGTAAAATTAGGTGCTTCAGCTTATATTTGGGTTGGCTTATCCTTGAGTATATAGGGTATATAATTCTGCCTTAATTGTATATAGTTTTAAGTACATTTGTTGTTGTTGTTTTCCTTCACATCCGTTTTAGGGTTTCTGTGCCAAAATTTGTTCAGAAAAGTTTTACCATGGCTGTTCTCTGAGGCTGAAAAAGCGTGACTCGCCCAAGGTCGCCTAATGGGTTTCCATGGCTAAATGGAGATTTGAACCCAAGTCTCAAGCCACAGGCTCCTTAATTATCTGAAATATATACACACATATCTGTATATAATTAACTTCAAGGCTGAAAGGAGCCAAATCAGCTCCTTTTCCCAGCTGCCAAAATGGGTCATCATATTTTTATCTACTTTTTAAACCTTTGCATTTAAAAAACCAGCATGAGGTCTGCCATTGCTTCAGGACAAGCTTCTAAATTTAGCTTTTCTCTGGCCAGATCTGAGGCTTTGGGGTTAAGTCCATTTCAAACTTATTGAAGGCTATCATTAGTTTAAAATGATACTTGGCTGGGAGTGCTTATTCTGACTCTGCAGAGCAGATGGCAAAGGTTTTGCTCCAAGTTGCAATTACCTGGTTTATAATGACCCAGCGTGGCATGTTCATATTCTCGTTATGCTGAAGGAAACGTGACGGAACCACCCAAAATCTGATGAAGTATCTGATTTACAGTGATATACTCACATGGCTGGGCGTATTTCCTTGCAAATTCACATGCCGAATACATCTCATGGTTGTGCAACCCAGACCATTACAAAACCTCCAAAATGTGGCCCCATCTACACTGCCATATAATCCAGTTTCTGAATGCAGTTGAAGTGGTTCAAAGTAATTGAATATCCTGGGAGCTGGAGGCACTTTGGCAGAGAAGCGTAAAGACTTTGGAAAACTACAACTCCCATGATTTGTAGTTGACATATGGCAGTTCAAGAAGTGTCAAACTGCATTCATTCTATAGTGTAGATGCACCCTCAAACCAAGGATTTTGTATGGTTTGTCACTACAAATCGGCCCTGTCCAATCCAGGCTGTATTACTATTACTATTACGCTAAGTAACAACATTTGAAAAATGTTCTGCTCCTGGTTAGAAAGTGTTATTTCCTGTTTAACTGTGCAGAACTTACCTTGAAAGTATGCTAGCTTTTATATTCACCCACTTCAGACCCTTCCCAAGTGTCTAGGACTGTGTGTTGTATTGGCAAATAATGCGTGCAGAACCAAGTAGGGTGGCCTTTTGCAGCTGACAGATGGGAATTTTGTCAGCGCCGATTGTGTTTAAGTGCAGGCCAAAGTCTTTAGGCACTGCACCCTGTGTGCTGATCACCACTGGGACCACTTTGCCTGGCTTGTGCCAGAGTCTTTGTAGTTCTATCTTTAAATCCTCATATAGTGTAAAACCATTATTATTATTATTATTATTATTATTATTATTATTATTAGATACACAACAAAATTAGTGCACAGCAAACAAGATCACTATGCAGGCTGTTGTATTGGATCACACGTCGGACACTTCCCAAGTGTCTAGGACTGTGTGATGTATCAGTGAATAATGTTTGCAGATCCCAGTAGGGTGGCCTTTTGCAGTTGACAGATGGTAATTTTTTCAGTGCCGATTGTGTTTAAGTGCAGGTCAAGGTCTTGAGGCACTGCACCCAATGATGATGATGATGATGCTGATTATTATTATTATTATTTGAAACACAACAAGATGAGTCAACAGCAGACACTCTGCTGGCTATTAAATTGGATCATACGTCGGGCACTTCCCAAGTGTCTAGGACTGTGTGATGTATCGGTGAATAATGTGTGCAGATCCCAGTAAGGTGGCCTTCTGCAGCTGGCAGCTGGTAATTTTGTCAGTGTCAATTGTGTTTAAGTGCAGGCCAAGGTCTTTAGGCACTGCACCCAGTGTGCCAATCACCACTGGGACCACCTTGACGGGCTTGTGCCAGAGTCTTTGCAGTTCGATCTTTAAATCCTCATATTGTGTCATCTTTTCCAGTTGTTTCTCAGCAATCCTGTTGTTGTTGTTGTTGTTGCTGCTGTTGTTGTTCTTATTATTATTATTATTATTGTCGAAGGCTTTCATGGCCAGAATCACTGGGTTGTTGTAGGTTTTTTCGGGCTATACGGCGGCATTGTTCTAGAGGCATTCTCTCCTGACATTTCATCTGCATCTATGGCAAACATCCTCAGAGGTAGTGAGGTCTGTTGGCACTAGGAAAATGAGTTTATATATCAGTATATATATTTATATATTCACCCTGGTCATTCCACAGATATATATACCCATTTTCCTAGTTCCAACAGACCTCACTACCTCTGAGGATGCTTGCCATAGTTGCAGGCAAAACGTCAGGAGAGAATGCCTCTAGAACATGGCCATATAACCCAGGAAAACCTACAATAACACATTATTATTATTATTATTATTATTATTATTATTATTATTATTATTATTCAATGCTATGGAATGGTAATGTTTCAAAGCCTCCTCTGCCAAAGAATGCTGGTGTCTCCCTTAACTACAAATCCCGGGATTCCGCATCATTGCGCCATGGCAGTTAAAGTGGTATCAAACTGTATCAATTCTGCAGTGCAGATGCACCCTTGGAGTCACTAGTGTGACTCCGTGGCCAACTTCCATCCCAAGATCCCTAACTGAATTACTCATCAAGAATGAAATGAAAGGATACTGTTGCAATTTCTGCCTCTGGTTCAAGTTGTTGTTCTTGGCAATGATCTTTCTCAGCCCGGAGACCCAGTGGTTGGCATCTGCTTCAGAGGCAGCGATGAGGTCCAGGGTGTTCTTGTTGCCTTTGAAGACAATTGAAAAGCAACGGTTTTCAGGTATATCCTTGACGTATTTTTTCATCCCTTCTGTCTTGTGGCCTGCCCTCACTTCCTGGATGTCCTCGATGGAGACTGTGAAAATAAACAAGGCACGGGTTATCATTGCAGAGGCATGGCATCTATGCCAAGGCTATCTTCGCTTTACGATGGATATTGCTAAATATCATTTTCTCTTAAGGTCTTCCCCAAATAGTCCTGCAAACCCTAAAAATAAAATTCAGGACTGCACCTAAAATTGATGCTGTTTGACACCACTTTCAATTGCTATGAAATTTTTCGTATTATATTTTGGTGAGGCACCAGGATCCTGTTGTAGAGAAGGCTAAAGACTTTGTAAAGTTATATCTTCCATTAAACCCTATACGGTTCCGGCCCAGTGTATCTGTCCGAACGGATCTCCCTCTACGTCCCACCCCGGAGCCTAAGATCTTCTGGGGAGGTCCTGCTCTCGACTCCGCCTCTATCACAGGTGAGATTGGCGGGGACGAGGAGCAGGGCCTTCTCGGTGGTGGCCCCCCGCCTGTGGAATTCACTCCCCGGGGAAATCAGATCTGCAACTTCGCTCCTTTCTTTCAGGAAAAAACTAAAAACATGGATCTGGGACCAGGCATTTGGACAAGTGGGCAAATAAAGAAAGAACTTCATTGATGGCTAGGAAATGACTAACGGATTGGACATGTGGAACTCTGGAAACGAAACGCTGATTATAAGAATGACTTTTATATGATGTTTTTATATGATGTTTTATATAATGTCTTATGTACCGGTTGTTGATGTTTTAATTGGGATAATCGTTTTAATTACATTTTTGTATATTTGTTCTTTTGTATATTTTTGTATATTATGTGTAATTTTGTATAGGCATCGAATTCTGCCTTTTTTGTAAGCCGCCCTGAGTCCCCCTCCGGGGGTTGAGAAGGGCGGGGTAAAAGTACCAGAAATAAAATAAATAAATAAATAAATTCCATAACGTTGCGCCATGGCAGTTAAAGTGGTGTTAAACTGCATTAACGCTACAGTGTATATGAGAAGAAGTGGCATAAAGAAGAGCCTCAAAGCTCAGGAAAATTCGCATAAAAAAGATTGGAAAGTGAAGATATGGGAACTCAAAGAAATGGACAAGTTAAATGTTTGGGTTTTTTTGCTTTTGTTTTTAAAGCATAAATCATTGGACCCTTTCTTTGAAGAATGGAAGTCTTTCTATCCATATGTATCAGAAGGAGAGGAAGTTATGGAAACTGGAATAACATGCTGGAAATAACGTCCCTCCAAAAACTACAACTTCCATTACTCTATAGCATTGAGCCACAGTTGTTAGAACTGGTTGGGGACCTTGGGGGTAATCTAACCCAACTCTTTGCTCTGTGCACATATGCTTCAATTACTTAGGATTTGTATTTTACATTTTACATTGTTAGAGTATTAAATGTTAGCTGCTTTGAATCTCCTTTGGCAGAGAAAAAGTGGGATATAATAACCTATACTAATGGTATATGGCATAACAACATCTGCTATAGAACTCCAATATGCTGATGATAACGTAGTTTGTGCGTATTCAGAAGAAGACCTACAAGCCACTCTAAACACCTTTGCAGAAGCATTGAGGTATGCAGTACATCGCTATGATACTTCATCTTGTTATGGGAATCTTCCCACCGGAGTGGAAATCATATATTGGACAAATGGCAAGCCATTTAACCTCAGATTGAAAGCCAAAACCAGGTAACATCAACATCTGTTAGAACTCTAATACACCGATGATAATGTAGTATGCGCACATTCATAGGAAGACCTACAAGCCACTCTAAACACCTTTGCAGAACCATACAAAAGCTCAGCCTCTCATGGAACATAGAGAAAACCAAAATGCTCTTCCAGCAGTCACCTGCCAATCCCTCTGCAATGCCATAAATAATGTTTAATGGTGTAACATTAAAAAATGCTGACCATTTCCTCTACCTTGGCATTCACCTCCTGACACTGAAATACAACATTGCCTGAGCTCTGCAAGTGCAGCATTTTTCCAAGTGAAGCAGAAAGTGTTTGAGGACCGGGACATCCGTAGGAAGACTAAGGTGCTTGTTTATAAAGCCATTGTCCTCCCAACCCTGTTATACACCTGTGAAACGTGGACTGTCTACAGACGTCACACTCAACTCCTGGAATAATTTCATCAGTGTTGTCTCCGAAAAATCTTGTAAATCTCTTGGGAAGACAGGAGGAAAAATGTCAACATACTGGAAGAAGCAAAGACTACCAGAATTGAAGTGATGCTCCTACGCTATCAACTCTGCTGGACCAGCCACATTGTCCGAATGCCCGACCACCATCTCCTAAAGCAGTTACTATACACCCAATTCAAGAATGGAAAACATAATGTTGATGGACAGGAAAAGAGATTTAAATAAGGGCTTGTGGAGTGTCCAGATGTGGACTGATGTGATTGATGATTCTTATGTATAGTGTATATTGACATAAGAATAAAGTTAAGTGCCATTTCGTTTTGAAAGCTGAACTAAGGAGTCCAGTGTTGTTTGTGCTTTTCAAGCAGATGTTTGAAAGGTCAATGCAGATTGAGATAAGAGAGGTAATTTATCTCAATTCTACCATTAAAGCTAACCTTAAAAACTGTGGCATAGACACCGAGAACTGGGAAGCCCTGGCCCTTGAGCTCTCTAACTGGAGGTCAGCTGTGACCAGCAGTGCTGTGGAATTCGAAGAGGCACGAATGGAGGGTGAAAGGGAGAAATGCATCAAGTGGAAGGTGCATCAAGCCAACCTGACCAGGACCGCCTACTAATGTCCTCACTGCAGAAGAACATGCAGGTCAAGAATAGGGCTCCACAGTCACCTACAGACCCACCACCAAGACACTACACTTGGAAGGCCATCATACTCGGACAACGAGGGATCGCCTAAGTAAGTAAAATAAGTAAGTAAGGTATATGGCATATGTATAGGGTGAAACTGGTGAAGTTTTGCAATCAACAGGTCAAACATACCCAGAAACAGGGCTAATATTTGAGGAACCAAAATGTGTGTAATAATCATAATTAAAGTAGTGTCGAGCTGCACGAATTCTACAGTGCAAACGCACCCACAAAACCAACCGAATAGAAATACTTCCCCCAAACGAGCAAACCCGATATTCAACTGCAGATGGATTTGTACAGACTGCTGCAGCCAACAGATAAGGATACAGAGCGCTATCTAGCTAAACTTAAGTGTTGCAATGATTTGAAGCCAACAAGCAGCAATGAATCAACCCACAAAAGATTGCTTCCTTGCAAGCAGTCATAAAGGGAATGTATTTGTTCCTAGTTCTGAGCCACTAAAAGGCTCAATCTCCACTTTGTTTGTTCCCGGATTTGTAGACCATTTATCATGCTGTCTGTTGGGGTGAACCACTGATAGTGCACTTCCTCTGATCTCCAGACTGAAAACACTTCCCTTTATTATCTAAGGCCAAAGCAAACCGGAGCAAATACTGTTGGAAATAGCAACCTTCTACAAGCCTCCTATACTAGTTATTTGTTATGTATATAATTGCAGTTGCAGACTATATTGTATGTACATACTGATATGCAGTTTTCCCTTAACTCTATGTTGATTGAGGTTGTGGGAGAGACTGCTGACCATGTGACCAGATCTGGGACTATTCAGACTGAGACTCCGTTTTAGAAGCCAGTTTGCATCAGAAGCCATACAGTACAGTTTATAAAGTTAGCAGTGTTAGTATGCAGTTGGTAGTGTCCATATACTGCAGTGTGTAGTCAATGTTCAGTAATGTATAAGACTGAAGAGAGTGTTAGTCTGTATGCAATACAGAAAAGACTAAAACAGAATGCTTTAGAGAACTTGCTGGTGCATTTCTGAGCACAATTCAAAGTGCTGGTCGTGGCCTATAAAGCCCTATACACCTCTGGCCCAGCTTACTTGTCCGAGCGTATCTACCTTTATGTTCTGCCTCATAGTTTAAGATCCACCAAGGAGGCCCTGCTCTCGGTCACACCAGCCTCGCAACCATCTCTGGTGGGGACGAGGGACAAGGCCTTCTCGGTGGTGACCCCCTGCTTATGGAACTCGCTCCCCAGTGAGATTAGAATGCTTCTCTGGGCACCAGCAACCATTCATAAACTGGGGGGCAAAAACCCACGAAACAGCGAGTCCGCAAAAAGCGTACCGCAAAGTAGCAAGGGAACACTTTATTTTTAAATGCTGAACAAAGGATGCTCAACCTGTACATAGAGGAGACCTGTACTTAGAGGAGCACCGGGACTGTGGCGCAGCTGGCTGGGAGTCAGCTGCATTAAGATTACTACTGACCAAAAGATCATGAGTTCAAAGCAAGCCCAGGTCAAAATGAGCTTCCGACCAATTTGTGTAGCTTGCTGTCAACCTTTGCAGCCTGAAAGACAGTTGCATCTGTCAAGTAGGAAATGTAGGTACCACTTATGCGGGGAGGCAAATTTAACTAATTTTTTAAAAAAACTCCAACAAGCATGCAATGAACGAGGAAGTACTTCATCAGTATCACAAATGGTCGGTGAAGGGACAGCTCCCCTTGTGGCCAGAATACCCCCAAGAAAAGCTGGAATGTTAAATAGCCTCTGAGTGTCTGTCTATATATGTTGTGTGTCTATAGCATTGAATGTTTGCTATGCATATGTACATTGTAATCTATATATGTTGTGTGTCTATGGCATTGAATGTTTGCCATGCATATGTACGTTGTAATCTATATATGTTGTGTGTCTATGGCATTGAATGTTTGCCATGCATATGTACGTTGTAATCTATATATGTTGTGTGTCTATGGCATTGAATGTTTGCCATGCATGTGTACATTGTAATCTATATATGTTGTGTGTCTATGGCATTGAATGTTTGCCACGCATATGTACATTGTAATCTATATATGTTGTGTGTCTATGGCATTGAATGTTTGCTATGCATATGTACGTTGTAATCTATATATGTTGTGTGTCTATGGCATTGAATGTTTGCCATGCATATGTACATTGTAATCTATATATGTTATGTGTCTATGGCATTGAATGTTTGCCACGCAT